CATTCTTATTCCCTCATGAAATATTAAATATTCATCTGCCACCCATACTATATGCAGCCTGAGCAATGAGATTGTGGTTGCTCGGTGGAAGACGGACGTGTTATGCCATGTATGTAATGACAGGCTGCAAAGTTCCTTTAGGGTGCCAGCTTTCATCACAGTAAACGTTGATGACACACTGTCACGGAGCTGTCAGGCTTGCACAATCACTGACTCCGCACGGCTATGATCACCTTTAAACTGATGAGAGTCAACCTTTGGGGGAACACGTGTTGATGTGTGGGTGGGCAGAAGACTCTTATAGTCGAAGAAGGTGAATTTGTAGTGCTTTTAACCCATGACTGCTGTCTGTCAGACAGTTGGAGGCAGCGCAACCTCGACAGTGATTATCACTACCAACACACAGCCTGATTGTGCTATAATTGGTAGTGATGATGTTGAATGCATTTTTTTTCAATACATTTCAGACAGTAATGTGGGTACCCCCATAAAAACGTCACTCTCCCGAGCAAGACATAAGAGCGTTGCAGATTGAACTGCAGATGTATTCAGGTAATATGTTTTTGTGATGGTCCATTGACACTGAAGTAGATTTCGACTCTGTGGGCTGGTGGGAATTTTTGAAACATTCTATTTAAATGAGTTCCAGTTGTGATTCAGAAAATATATCCCATATCACAATAAAGTCAGTATGGGTACGTTTCCATTCGTTCATGCTCAGTGGAACAGCTCCAACATTTGTTTCTGGATGACATCATTACTGGTCTTTTCCGTGTTTTTCAGCATGAAGAACACGGAGGTGGTGGAACAGCAGATGTCGACAATTTCCACTTTTAAAGAGCAAATCAGCTTTGCATAAGCAATTCAACATGGGATAAAATAAATAGATTTCACCTAGTTTGGGCATTTAATATATTCACTGTCAGTACAATTAATTCCCCTTTGTATCTGGTTTGTTGGTTTGAGGTGGGAAAGCTCACCGCTTTTCGACACATGTTAATGTATATTGTTGGTTTAGTGAACAGTGCAGCAGTGTGTGGGGCTCTATGATCAATGCTTTGCTAATTGGGGTGCCCTGTGTTTAGTTTCAGTGTGCAATTTGCAGCTGCTAGCAGTGCAATTCAGTTTTGATAGAGGTGGCAGACTGCAGGACTAAATCCTGAACACATACAGATGCTTATGAGGAACTGTGTTTTTGCAGTAGTCCATTTTCTTCTTTTTTTTTTTTTTTTTTTTTTTTTTTTTTTTTACAAGCAGCATATATTTAGGATGCCAATATTATGGGTTAGGGTTGTGTCTGCTGTGGGGTGGCCTTCATGTTCTTACTCGGCGCTAGCGGGCAACCTCATCTCATCAAATATCCAAGTCTGACAGACTCTGCTAAGTGGAAATCACTCTTTCCCAAGGCAGCATTTAAAGAATGTGAAAACTACGGTATGAACTCCAAATCAAACTCGGCACTTTGAGCCAAACCTTGCAAACGATGAAGAAAGGATGAAGGATCTTAGAAGAGAGACGGCTTAAAGAAAAGGGATAAGAAAAAACGCAGTAAGATGTGAGCACTTATATGATCACCGGCTCTTGTATTAAGAGTTCTGCTGACATTGAGCGTTCAATAGATTTCACTTGTATCGTAAGTACCTGCTGAGAGGACTTAGCAAAGAGTAAGGAGGCTTTATCAAGGATTTGGGCCAAGCTTTCAATATCTCTGTGCCGACAGTTATGCAAACTCTATGCCAAGTGAAAAGGGACTAAAACCAAGGTTTTCACAGCTGTTGTCACAGCTTTTCTGCCTCAGTTTTAAGTCCTCCGGTAACTAATGGGAAATGAAGGGCTACTGCCTAAACATTGTTGATCCGAATCATCAATTGAGAAGCCCTCAGGTCAAATCCATGTTTTTTTTCCTGTTAAAACATTTTTTTAGCTGCGTCACTGTTCAAAAAGCTGCACAGGATAACAGCATAGCAAGCTATGAACTTTTACACAATGAGTCTTGTCTCAAAATGACCTTACTACAATGGAAATACAAAAGAGTCATTGTACTTGTGAAACGGCTTTGAATAAACCATCAATTCACTCGCTCAAAATCAAAATAAGCCAAAGAAGGAAAATAGGAGAAATATTCAAAGAGTGCACAGTATTCAGCATGAATTTGTGTTCCAGTTCCCTGGATCTATGAAATGTTCACTATCACTATGCGGTTCCTTTTGGGTTGTCCTTCAGATACACTGTATTGCTAACACCCTTGCTGGGAGCATACCAGAGACGGACGGACGGACACACACACACACACACACACACACACACACACACACACACACACACACACACACACACACACAGCCGTGCACATACACATCAATAATGTTCCTCTTAATGAATTACTAGCAGACCTTGAGGCCGTACACCTATATCCCAGTAACGTCTGGCCAGGTGCCCAATGACAAGCCTCATAGCACAAAAGACAAGAACAGACACACACACACACACACACACAATCCTTTTGTCTTTAAATAGCATGCTTACTGAGCATCCTCATCTACATAACAATTGTAGCAAGGTAGGTAGCAGCCCTAGAAGCTCTATTACTGTCCATCCATCCTGCATTACTGCAAGACTTGCTTTTCAGTCATTCTTTTAAAAATCACAATCCATTTGGATCAAACTAAGTGTCAGTGGTGTGCATAATCACAGTTATTTATAGCTATCTGGAATGCATGTAGGGCATATAAGCAAAGTTCCGAGGTAAATTTGACAGAAGCTTGATAAGCTCTGTTTAAAACGGTACCAGATGGCGGGAGGCACCTCACTGTCGGCCAAGCAGAAAAAGCTTCATACCTGTCGAGGTGAAAGGTCAAGGAGTGTGTCTTCAGCCCACAGATTAAACATAAAGAGTTGAATAGCCAGCAGTTATGGGATTTAAGAATTTTACACTCTACAAAATTTTACCATAAGCTGTCGTCAGCAAAAGTATAGAACACCTCTTACAGTACCAGAGGGGGATGTTGAAAGTGTATTAGAATATATGATAAGATAATGTGTACATTGTCCTAATGCTGTGAGATCAATGAGTCCATAGTCAGAAAAATATTTGATAACAATTTTTAGCATTGATTAATCATTATAATAATGTATCAAAAAAGGTAATACTGGTTCCTGCCTCTTATGTGATGATGTATCGCCTCTATCAAACCAACTGAAGACATCACCAAGGACTGGACATGCTGCTGTTTATTCTCACTATTTTCTGGCTTTCATAGGCTAAATATTTATTTTGATTTATTGAAATGGTAATAATTTCCTCCTTGCAGTGATTATATTTAAAGGGGAGCACGCCTAGATTTAGAAATCCAATCTGGCACAGGAAATTACAATCAGCATTTGTCATTAGAGCTACTCTCCTTCAAAGCCAAGTACGTTTTAAACTTGATGTCATCTTGTATACGCTCCATAGACAATGAATGGGAGACTGATTAGTTAAATGAGCTTCATTCCATTGTTGTGTCATCAGTTCTGACACAAAAAAAATAATGGTACCCAAATACTCAGAACATTCCCCTGGGTGCTCTGTGTCCTCTATAACATCTGTTCCAATTCAATGTCAATGCAGTTCCAGCTTTTATACGATGCTAAATCAAATTTGAGTTTTAGCTCTCCAGTTTTTAGATCAGCTGTTCATTTTTCTAATATTTTTAGACCATAGAAATAACAGGGATTTTTAACTATGTTGCCGGCTAGTTAATTGAGCATTATAATACGATGTCTATATATACGTTGTACACGTCTACATACGTTAGGAAAGCTGTCATTTTCTGAGGGGATGTGTGTTCTGCATGCCCCCCCCCCCCCCTGCACCTAAGGGCCCGTGGCACTACCGAGCATAGCGCACATAACCCTCCCCGGCCATCCGTGTCCTCTGACCCAGAGTCAGCGGGTTAATAACCTGCTGCACCGAAAGCCATTTGTCATTTGCTACCTGCCGTTGATAGGAGATGTCAGCAGATGTCTTTGCCCTTGTCACCCAGCCGCATGACAAATACTGTATCAAGCCTCGCAATCTGAGGCTCCCTGAGGCTTCTCAGTACTCCTCTACTGAACAACCGCTCCCCCTTGATAGCATTAGATTCTTGTGCCATGATCCATATCGAGATAAACTGGTGATCCCCCTCTTTTTTTATCTCCCTCTTTCATTGCTCCACAAATTGCAATTGGGCCTGTTTTTTATTAATTTTTTTAATTATTATTTTTGCACATTTTTCTCTCCCCTTTTGCTTTTAAACGTTTCCAGTTTCCCTTTGATGTGTGATACTTAATGCCAGCACTGGCCTGGAGCTGATGGTTTTATGTTGGTACAAGATGTAGGATGATTTATGCAGATAAGCAGAGTACATTGAAAGGTGAGACAGCATTTCTACAACTGCTTTGGATTTGAATTTAATCGAGCTTGATAAATCAATTGTCTTCTCATTTGTGGAGTTTTTATGTCCGCGTTTCCTCCCTGACAAAAGAAAAAAAACGGTGGAAACAAATGTGCAGGAATAAGCCTCTCTTATCTCATGTTGTCTATGATAGAAGTGCTGTATTGTTTGGGATGGCTTAAACATGTGTGATTCTGACTGATACCATGGGTGAAAAAGTTCCCATCATAAAGATTTCATCAGAGCAGCTAAGCAATGCAATGGCTTGACAGTAATTCTTCCCGAGCCAGCTGCACAAACGTACAAAATTATGACAGCTTAAGAACTCTGTCCAGCTTTTCAAGAGTTCAAGGTTTCTATGGTTGCTGCACTGGAATACTAATGCACAACCAAACAGTCACATTTGAACTTTGGTTTCTTTCTTTCTTTATTTTTATAAGGAGAACAGACTTTAACAAACACATTAAATGTGAACTTGTCATGGATTATATGTTGTCCCCTTTTTCCTCTCTCTGCAGAGATGTCGGGTACAGGAGAAGATATTTCCCAAGTACACTGGAAGCAGCAGTGGTTGGAAAATGGCACACTGTACTTCCACGTGTCCGTGACCGAGTCTGAGGTCCTAGTCCAGACGACACAACCCACAGCCCGGGAGCCTGCTCATGGCCTGCATGAACACATGCATCTGCTGCACATCTCAGTTATGGTAAGTTACAAACAACTAAGCCTCGTGTGAAATGTGGGCGTGGATATACGTAGAACCACATTGGATGCAAATTGCATTAGGAAACACGCCACTGTTGACAATCTTTTGCGGGGTAAGTGTCACCGCCCTCTATTTCTTCATCCATAGTGTCATGTGCTATCGGAGGTGACTGGTCTTCTTTCTGAAGATCCTGTGTGGGTGTGGCATAACTTACAGTTTGACCCTAAAAGAGGAGTGTCATGTTTTGTCGCAACTTTGTACTGTGGACATTATCTGTATAAGGAAAGTTCTTCCCATTTGGCGGTTGTCAGATACATTTTTTTTCAGGTGACGCGAGAAAGTGGGACAACAAATGTTGACAGATTTTGGTGATGGAGGGAAGACAGACAGGCGAATGTAGTTGACGGGCTAACAGCTAACATGCAAGCCCGTCAAAAACCAGCGCTTTATACAATAGCCCCCCGAGCTGCTTTTCTATTTTAGTTTTAAAGTGGCATTTACTCCCCCATGGCATTTTGTTTCGAGGATTATGCATTATTCGATTCAATAAAGAGTAATTAAAGAGGCAAAAAACCCACAAAAATAAATAAATAAAGACCGTTTTAAATGCTGGTGTGAGCAGGATTTTACTCTGTTTAAGTGTCACTCCACCTCCAGATATGTATGAGGGATCTTTTTAAAGAGGGTAACGTTTGCAAGCTGGCGACCTGTCTGTCAGTGTTGCATAATGTTGAAGCTCCATTTAATCTTGTGTTGTCGTCAAGTCTGTTGATATACCTTGAGGTTCTAATGCATTTTAGATAAGTGTGGGCTAATTGACAAGCAGTCTGGTGTGTAGGTTAATATCTTCAAATGTCAAGCACAAAGTCTGTTAAAAACAGAGCTATAGGGCCTCACACAGACGCAGCGTTGCACCTCTTGGTTTATTAGTTCTTGCTGATGGGATGCTGTCAGAGTATGGGGGCGCATCAGAGTGTTTAAGTATCGCCTTACCGACTGTTAGCAGGTGGAGTAGAACGACGGTTAGAAGTGTTGTCATAATATGCATTGCTGTACTCTTTCTTGTATGTGTGTCAGTAGAATTTTCATCGCCATACTGCAGCTTTATGATTGTGGCATAAAGGGATTTACTATTGCTCTAAATCTACTGCTGAAGTTCCCTACCAACATACACGCGCGCACACACACACACACACACACACAACATTGCAGCTGATAACCCACCTCGTACATGTTTTGCTCTGCAGCACTCTCTCCCCTCTGGACATTATTGATAAGACTCACCTCTGCACTTCCTCCACCTTGTGTGTTTTAACTGACCATCCTCTCTCTCTGCTTGCATTCTAAAAATGCATTTGGTATTCATGGGTGTTGATACTTGTAAAGTGCTTTGTATCATCTTGTTAAGTTGTTAAATACCTCTGGCTGAGTTTTTACAGCCCTGTCCTCCTCTCCCAGTCTCTGACCTTGTCACGTCACCCCTTCACTTTCTCACGAAACATCAACCTGAAGTCAGTTTTTTTGTACTTATTCTTTTGTTGACTTTTTTTTTTTTTTTTGCCTCGGCTCTCTTTTCACATCCTGACACTTTTTGTATTTCACTGTCCACCCTCACGGCCCCATCCAGAGCCGGCCCTAGGCGTGAGCGGTATAGGAGCAGGCCAGGACAGCCATCCATGGATCCCGTCCCAGATGAGGGAAGAAAAAAAAAAAGTCAAAAATAATAATTTTTACTATTTTTCTATAATACTTTTTTAATACCATTATTTTTAACTATTACCAAAAATCTCCCACCTACATAACTACATGGCCTATTAAACGGGCCATATTTTCCAGGTTTGCACGCAGCATCGCCACGGAGCATCACCCTAATAGCTAATGATAACGTCAGTTACTCCCACCTTAAATTCATTGGAAGTTGGAAAGATTTTATTAGGTGGGGAATAACCTACAACATTAAGTTTGTCTTTTTAGTGTGATCCGCACAACCTAATCTCAAAGACATAAGGCAGTTTCTGTGTGAGTGTATCAACACAATGATTGGCTCAAACGTTTTTCTGCACTCGTCCTTCAGTGTAAAGGCCATTTAAGCTACAACTGGTCTAAAATGCAGCACCAAGTGTACAAAGTAGGATTTTCTCAGATATTTTAATAACTGCTAGAGCACTCAAACAATGAGACCTTTGACACGTCCTGTACTCAGATGTAAACCCTTTAATATATTATCCTGCTCATGAAAAGCTAATTTGAACATAGAGTCCGGACCATTTTATGGAAGTCAGCCTTGCAGACGAAATCAGGTTTCCATCTTTTACGCATTTATTTTTACTTAAATCCTGTAGACAGAAGACTGCATTGTATTTAATTTCTTTTAATATATTTCCATGTATGCGAATACATATGGAACCAAATGGGTGCACCAAAGCAACAATATAAATATCGCTCGATTTCCAGGAACTGCTTCTTTTGGAGGCAGTCTCGGATGGACTGGCGTTTCTAAATTGACTATATGTGCGTGTGAATCTGGTCATTTGTCTATGTGCGCTAGCCCCTGTCCAGTGGGCACCAGTCCAGGGTGTAGCCTGCCTCTCACCCAATGCCAAGTGGATTCTGGGATCGGCCCAAACCTCCTGAGAACCGGAGCACAACAATATGTTAGAGAATATTTGTAGCTTTTGCTATTGGATTCCTTAATTCTGATATTATTACAAGTATTTTTATAATGAATCATTATAACTCACCTCTTTCTCCCCGTCTTGGTTGCATCTCACTGTCCTCTGCTCAACCTTCTCTCATACATCTTTATAATTGGACACAGCTGAACTTGTTTCTTTTATCCTCCTTTCCCTCTCATCCTCAGCCCACATCCATGATGAAAGAACACCCCGGTTTCTTTGTGTCCATACAAGTAACAACATGGAGACTTGCTCGGCACAACTTTGCTCTGTAGCTCTGCCATTGGTAAAAAAATAAAAAAAAATTCCACAAGCAACTTTTAACAGCGCAACAATTACCAAACCACTTATTTTCTTGCGTGGGCATCAAGATGTGCACATCGGTGTATCACATTTGAAGCTTATGTTTTCATGAAACGCTAATCTTTCTGGTATTTTGAACAATGGGGTTCATGCAGATAAAAATGCTTTAGCGGATGTTTTTGGTCACTCGGTGGCAGCGGAAACTAACTTTAAATATAAACTTGACATATCACCTTTCACACCGATATGGCAAACTTGTTATGGTAATTTGTTGCGCATCATAGTGCTGAGGGGAACTGCAGAGTCGGGTGATAATTATCTGCTAGTTTTGTCGCTACCAGCGACCATGTAACCAACATACAAATAGATATGTAATCTATTGTTAAAATACAAATATTGGTTTTACACAAAAATGTAGCTGCACTCTCTTTACGAAAACATTTTTAGGGAGAGACGCGTATTATAATACTCCAAATAATATTCAAAGAAAGAGGGAAAGAGGAGGGGAAGCACATCGAGGCAGTCGCAACAGGACAGCAGGTCTGGTGGTTTGGCCTCATGGCCCCAAGGCGTCTGCTGGCTCTTTCAGTGAACATCACAATATCTGATGCTGTCAGTTCTGGGCCAGACCGAAGTGTGAGCACTCTATTCTTCTGGCATTGAGCTGTCAGTTTCTCACTCAATCAAGCAATCGTTCTCCCAACTCTCCCTGCTTTTTGCTTTCTGCTGTCCTTCCTCTCCGCTGTCTCGCCACCGTATGACAGCAGCAGACAGAGGCAGGTATCCGTTTCAACACAGGCTAAAATGACAATTGACTGACATAGCCATCACATAGATTTGTTTTACAGCGAGGGACTCGCACTCACAACCACTTGTTTTGAGAGTATTGTCTTTTTCATCGTAATCATTTCTTGTTCTCAGAATCAAACAAGTTGGCAGCGTTTTTTAGTAATACTCTACAGCGTGTAAAGGCTATTCCTCAGCAGCCTTGGTAAAGTTCCTGAGTGTTTCATTTTTTACCGTGCTTTTACTCAAAGGGTTCCTGTTAAAGCTTCAACATAAGTCATTCGTAGACTGGTTATGTTGATATTTGTAAAGAACATATCGGCCTTGACAATGCTTGCAGACTCTGGTGCTTACAACAACATGTTTACAACCCAAATGGAGGCATTTCTTTCACTGAAACACCTTGTGGCCCTTCACTGTCCTCGTACTTTTCATAAGCTTAATGCACAGCCTTCTAAATAAGTGTTTGTTTGCTTTTGTTGGGTCTGTTTTCCTTCTTCAAACTCCTACTCAAACACTGGTCATTGTTTTTCAAATAGCTTTCAGTGACCAAAATAATTCATTGTTAGTATGATGATCTTCTCTACTGTATAGCTATTGAATGTATTTGTGACTACAACCTCATAGTGATACTTAACACGTTGAAACTGTTCAACAACCCTGCTGATTCAACTGGAAATGATTGTGCACTTTGGTGTCTTTTTCGTTTCCTTTCTGAAGATGCTGCTGCGTATAATATCCATCCATCCATCCATTTTCCACCGCTTATCCGGGGTCGGGTCGCGGTGGCGGCAGGTCAAGCAGGCCGACTCAGACCTCCCTCTCACCGGCAACATGTTCCAGCTCATTCTGGGGGATCCCGAGGCGTTCCCAGGCCAGCTGGGAGATGTAATCTCTCCAGCGTGTTCTGGGTCTTCCCCGGGGTCTCTTCCCAGTTGGACGTGCCTGGAAAACCTCCAGTGGGAGGAGTCCGGGAGGCATCCTAATTAGATGCCCGAACCACCTCAGCTGACTCCTTTCGACGCGAAGGAGTAGCGGCTCGACTCCAAGCTCCCTCCTGATGACCGAGCTCCTTACCCTATCTCTAAGGTTGAGCCCGGCCACCCTACGGAGGAAACTCATTTCGGCCGCTTGTAGCTGCGACCTTGTCCTTTCGGTCACGACCCAGAGTTCGTGACCATAGGTGAGGGTAGGAACGTAGACTGAGTGGAAAATTGAGAGCTTTGCCTTCCGGCT